CATGGTTAACCATGGGTAGAGGTTAAGGTCATAGATTAGGAATGAGGAGATTCCTAGAAGGAGAAGTTCCCCGAGGATGGGTTCCAGTATGAGTTCGAAGGCTTGGAAGACAAAAGCTCTGATCCCAGGGCTGTCTTAACAGCATTATGGGCCCTGGGAAAATCAGTGGGTTGGGCCCCCTATGACAACTACACACAGGAATAAAAATGCAAATGGTCAAGAAAATTAAACATGTATTTATTGTATTGGCACTTCCCAAAAAATTGGTGTTGAAACATTCAATATATGCTGTGCGGCAACAACTGATCAACATGATGAATGTTTGAACAATACACGGAGCTTGAAAAACACAATAATGCTCAGTAAGTCACCCAGTTCCTGTATTTATAGGATACAAGGTACACTGAAGGGTTAACATACACAGAGCAAGAGGCCATCCGGCCCATTCATTAAGTCAGCTCTGTCTAGTCCTGGCGACCGACCCAGATTGGATCCTGCAACATTATCCTTTGACACATAGATTCACCTTCATGCGTGAAGAGATCTTCTTCCAAAATGTTAAAAAGAAGAAAAAAAAATCCGTTCACTTTAAGAGGAGAAATGAGAAACGTTGCGAGCACTTCAATCCACAAAGAATAGTTACAAAGAAAAAAACTTTCCATAGCAATCCAATTAGGGTTAATTTCACTGCTCAATTCTTTTGCTTAAGGATCTAATTTGGCTTTAAAGAAAAATTTCTTTGGGCAGTCTTTCGCAAAATAGAAAAAATACCTCACCAGATGGACTTACTTTCTCTTTTGACTTCCTTCCTTCCATCCGGAGCTGTCCTGACTTCATCAGCTGGGGGGGCTGCCTATTTACTGCTGGCTTGAAGCGCTTCCCTTGGGTCGATCAGGGACTTTGCGATGACCCTGAGACCAGCAAGGCTTCGTCTTCCTGATCGCCGTCTCTACAGGACTGTTTAGGTCTCAATGGACCGTCCAGCGGCAAAAGTGTCAACGGCGGTCTCGGAGTATCTAGACCTCACGTTATGACATTGTGACGTGGCTCCTCCTTCTCCGGGTTCCAGATTTATTGTGTCTGTTTCTTGTATTTGTTTTTTTATTAAGTTTATATGCTGCCCATCTCACTTGTGATGACCTGGGGCAAGGCACGAAGGCAGTGGTGGGTTCCGGATCCCGTTGCAACCGGTACAGTGCAACGGGGCCCGGCGTCCACCACATGAACGTGTGCAACACGTGTATGCGTCCTTACCTCCTGCGATACTTCCTGCGATGCTCCGCGATGCCTCCACAACGCGCCAGCTGCTCGGCGGAGCATCGCCCAGGCGCTGTACGCTCTGTGCGCGGAAGTCCCAAAGAGCTCAAATACAGGTAAGGAGGGCAGGCGGGCCCTTTAGAGCACCATACCGGAACGGTATCCGGTGCTCTCGGCAGGCACCGGTATGCGCGTACCGACTGCAACCCACCACTGCACAAAGGTCATATAGCCAGCTGAGAGTTTAAACTCCCTTTTAATGCTCCAAATTTCCCCTCAAATGCGCCCATGTTCTTGGAAATTCCCAGAGTATAGAGCGCGTGCAAGCACACATTAGCCTCTGGCTGTGTACAGTCCAGTAAAGCAAATGAACATGGATAGTACTCCATAAAACAAGCAACAAACAATGAGGCACGAAGCAAGGAAGAAGCAAGCAGACCTGCAAACTCCAGATGTCTCCAACGGCACACAAAACTCTACAAATTCAGCATTGTTCCTGACAAATGCCCTCCCCACAGTGTTTCCTTAAATCTCGGTCCCCAGGTGTGCCTTGTGAAGAGGGGCAGGGCACTCTCCTCCTGAGTTGTCAGGTCAGCCTGCGCTGTTCCCACCTTCTCTCCACTCTCCGTGCCCGGGGATCAGGAGGGGATGGTTCTTGCTCTTCACCTGAGCTCTGTCACTCCTCGTGTCCATTTCTTGCCCTCTCTCGGTCATCCTGCCCCCGTTCCTCCTTGCTAACAAGCCATCCCACTCCTGAGGGGCCCTGAGGTGCCTCAGCCTGCTCCTCCCCACATCTCTCCGAAGCCAACAAAGCTGCCCCCTCGATCTCAGGCTGCTCTGGCCCACAGATTCACGACAGATTCACAGATTCACACCGCCCTGAGTCTTTCCAGGAATAGGGCGGCATACAAGTTCAATAAATTGAATTAAATTGAATTGACATTGCTGTTCAAAGGGGCACTGGCTGGCTTACAGTGTAGTGAAAAATAAAATAAAAATAGAGGTACCAAAACAATTATACATGTAAAAACAATGCAGGTCATGTATTCTGCCTAATGGTAGAGTAAGCCTTGTCTCAACTCATGTTTACTCTCGTGAAAAGAAGACATATTTTTATTTTGGGCGAGTGGGAAGCAGAGAAAGCTAAGAACAGTTTTCATCTTCTGCGCTGCCGCTTTTGAATTCCTAAAAAAAGTTGGACATGTGTATTTGGAAGCAATTCACTAGACGTCTCTCTTTCTCTCTTCTTTTCAGCTTTGCATTCTCTGTTCTTAGCTACCATTCAACTCTTCAAGCCATGGCTGGAGGTTTTAGAGGGGGAAGAGACAAGGTAAGTGGGAAGCTGGTTACGAGGTTAAAGAAAACAGAATTGACCTGGGATCTCCAGCTATCTGGGGGATGGTGGATACCTGGGAAATTTTAAGCATGTGTCTCTCCTCCCCTTTCTCTTTCTTTCTTTCTTTCTTTCTTTCTNCTCCTCTCCCCCCCTTCCTTCCTCCTTCCCCCCTCCCCCTTCCTTTCTCTCTTTCTCTCTCTCTCTCCTTCCCTCCCGCCAGCAAAATCTCTCTTTCTTTCCTGCCTCCCCTCCAGATTCCGTTGGAGAAGTGAGGACAGAGGGAGGGAACGCCCTTCATTGTCTTTCTCCTCTCTTTAGGATGCCAGCCTCAAGTGCCAAGCTTTCATTTGGCAGGCTGTCCACTTCCTTGGTCTTCTGGAACAAAATGGGACGATTTCTTCAGCAGCCCTGGAGCAGGAATTTTCAAAACTGTTGGATGATATTGCCATCTTTAATCCCCCAGGTGGGTCCTGAGAAAACTGCGCCTGAGTTGAGTGGGGAGGAGAGTTGGGCATAATAACCAGCTGTCTGCAAGGCTTAATAAATCCTTCCGTTCCCCACCGGCCAGTCAGAGCTGAAGAAGCTTCTTGGATGAGAAGCGAAATGTCTTCAAAGAAAAAACAACAACCATGACCTGAATGACTAAGAATCTATCCAGACTGGTATCTCCCAACAATTCCAAAGAAATTTGCACAACATTGGAAAAACGAGGAAACTCCTTCAGATGAAAATATAATTTAAAAAATATTAGATTATGCAGAAATGGATAGGTTAACATTAAAGATAAAGGATAAAGAATATTTTTTTTTAACTTGGGATCTGTTTCACCAATGGTTAGATAATAAAAATAAAAATTAGAAGTTAGAAGAATATTATTATATACAAGTAAAGAATATTATTATATACTTTATTCATTAGACATGAAACTCAGCCAACTGAACATTCAAAAATGCCTCACAAAAACCATTGATTGGCGCTAATGGTTGGTACGGTTTGCTGCCAGCGTCCTAGGTATCGACCAAGTACCTTCTTAAAATATACGATGTTCTGAGTAGCACAGTTTTTTGCTGTTCCGCTGGTGTTATTGCAGGAAGCTGCAATTTCTATATAATAATAATAATAATCACTATTTATGTAAAACGACCCAGACAATACACTATCTATTGAATACTTATATATGTAAAAGGTGTGTGCGTGTGTGTGTGAAAAAAGGTTTTGCCCTCCGCGTGCATCGAGACCGCATGTCCGTATCGTCGCGACGTTGACTCCTCCCCACAAAAAGGTGCATCTTATAGTCTGGAAAATAAGTGTGTGTATGTATGTATGTATATATATGAAGTTCCATAAGTTCTCAACTGTTTTTCAACCTTGCTTTGCAGACGCCGATGTCCAGGTTCGCAATGCGTCCTTAACCAGCCTCTTTGCCGAAGCCCTGATGGTGATCAACAACGCCAGTGCTGCCTCGGCAGAATCCCTCCTGGTTTGCCTCTGCCGCTGGATTGATGGCACAATGCGTGGCTTAGGGGTGATGCCCCTCTTAAGAGCCTCTTGTCAGAGTTTGGCCTCCATAAGACACATGGCCATGACGATGGAGGCCTGTGTCACCGCCTACTTTAACGAAGGTGAGACGCGGCTTCGTTCCCCGCAGATAGCATGCTGGGTCTTTTTCTCTCTCCCTATGGAACCAGTCTTATTTTCCCTGATATTAATCATCATCCTGAAAGCTCACAATCAGTTCTGATACACTTGTCAAAGAGTAATTGCTCCCAGGGAGACGCTGGAAATGCTAATTATTTGCATTTTTTTATATTGCACTAAATCAGGGGTCGTCAAACTACGNACCGAGGTGCACCCACAATCGCTCGCGCGGCTGCATTCTGGACGAGCTGAAGTTTCCGAATGCTCTTCAAGAGCTGCCCCATGTAGAGCGCATTGTTATCGTCTGAGTCTGCGACCAGCTCCGCTGGCAGCTGGTGGGCCACAACAGAACTCCTTAAGTCAGTGATGGCAAACCTTTTGTGGCTCGTGTGCCAAAAGCGGGGGGAGCACACGGTCATGCGTGGGCGTGCAACTCCCATACTGCTATGCGCACGACCCCAGCGCACATGCGTGCACGACCAGCACTTCCCCCCATTTTTGGTGTGCCTTTTTCGCCCTCCCCAGGCTCCAGAGGCTTTATAGGAGCCTGGGGAGGGCAAAAACAGCCTCCCCCATCCCCCTGGAGGCTCTCCGGAGGCTTCAGGAGCTTCCCTGAAGCCTCTGGAGGGCTAAAACCGGCCCTATGAGCAAACTGGAAGTAAGTTCCCCAACTTCTGGTTTGCCTATAGGGCCGGGTTTTCACACTCCGGAGGCTTCAGGGAAGGTCCTGAAGCCCCCCGAGGGCGAAAAATGGCCTCAAAAGAAGGCTGAAGACAGGGCAATGCTTCATGTGCCCGGACAAATGCCTCCGCATGCCACCTGTGGCATGCGTGCCATAGGTTCGCCATCACGGCCTTAAGTTATACAGGTTATAACTTATAACAGTTCACTTAGTGATGGTTTGAAGTTACCACAGCACTGAAAAAAAAGTGACTTACAAATGTTTTTCACTCTTATGACTGTTGCAACATCTCCATGATCAAAATTCATTGTCACCGGAGGCCTTTAAAAAGAGACTGTGGACAATCACTTGTTTGAAATGGTCTCCTGCTTGAGCAGCAGGTTGGACTAGAAGACCTCCAAGGTCCCTTCCAGCTCTATTCTGATTGACGGATTGAAGTTGTAAAATCGGAATGGAGATTAGCACTAGGACAGACCTATATATTGCCCCACGGTGCTTAACAGCACTCAGTGGGTGCTTTACAATATCAGCATTATGTCCCCAACTGTCTGGGTCCTCATTTTACTGATCTAGGAAGGATGGAAGTCAACATTGAGCACTGTCAGGACCGAACTCCAGGCTGTGGGCAGCGTTAGCCTGCAATACTGCATTCTAACCACTGGTTGAAATTACTGATTGAAATTCAATTGTGGTTGTTAAAGAAGGACGGTGCTGCCTGCAGGGTGGGGAGAAAAGGCCATGCATGAAACGCCTGTTTCTTTTCTCCTCCAGCAATCTCCGCTGCTCAACCTCCTGGGCCAGACCAGCTCCCTTCCCTGGCAACACATCAACATTATCTCCTACCGGAGCATCCTGGGTTACTTCAATAGCCACTATCCTCCCTCCGTGCTTCTGGCCAAGGAACCGGCCACTGAACTGGTGGTGAAACTCTTGAAAGTGTCTGCCGGCTTCAGCACCTCTTTGGACATTGGGCACCTTGTAAGCAGGTCCTTCCTTCCTTCCTTCCTTCCTTCCTTCCTTCCTTCCTTCCTTCCTTCCTTCCTTCCTTCCTTCCTTTCCTTTCCTTTCCTTTCCTTCCTCCCTCCNCTCTCTCTCTTCTCTCTCCTCTCCCCCTCTTCTCTTTCTTTCTTTCTTTTTCTTTCTTTCCCTCCCCCTCCCTCTCTTCTCTCTTCTCTTTCTCTTTTCTCTCCCTCTCTTTTCTTTCTTTCTTTCCCTCCCTCTCTCTCTCTTCTCTCTTCTCTTATCTCTCCCTCTCCTCTCCCTCTCTTTCTTTTTTCCTCCTCCCCCTCTCAATATATCTCTCTCTTTCCCTTCCCCTCCCTCCCCCTCTTCTCTCTCAATCTTCTCTTCTCTTTCTCCTCTCTCTCTTTCTTTTATTTCCCTCTCCCTCCCTCCCCCCTCTCAATATATTTCTCTCTTCTCTCCCTCTTTTCTTTCTTTCTTTCTTTCTTTCTTTCTTTCTTTCTCTCTCTCTCTCTCTTTCTTTCTTCCTTCCTTCCTTCCTTCCTTCCTTCCTTCCTTCCTTCCTTCCTTCATTCCTTTCTTACTTTTTCTTTCTTTCCCTCCATCCCTCTCTGTCTCTCGCCCCCCTTCTCTCAATATCTCTCTCATCTCTCTCTCTCTCCCCCCCTCTCTCTCTGTAGCAAACAGCGCTGCTATCCATGGCTGGAAAGTGACTCCTCCATTGCTTCAACTATGGTGGAATTGTTTGCATCCAGCGTAGCCGTTTTACACAAAGGTTTTAAAGGTAGGAAGATTCAGCACTGGGATCTCAGTGGCTTCATGGGTTGGACACTTATAAGGTGGCTCCTTGGGTCACAGATATGGACTAATTCCTCCTCTAAAAAACAATTATCCCCTGTACGGAGTCCTTGGTACTCTCTACGCTTGATTGTTTCCTTAGACTTTTCATTACCAAACTAGGTAATATCATCAGTGCTAGCGAGTTTTAGCTCTGATGGTGTTACCTAGTTTGGTGTGAATGCTCCATCACTGGAGGGTTTTAAGAAGAAATTGGACAACCATTTGTCTGAAATTGCATTGGGTTTCCTGCCTGAGCAGGCGGTTGGACTAGAAGACCTCCAAGGTCCCTTCCAACTCTGTTATTCCGTTATTCTGTTAAGTAGTAGGACTACGACTCTGAACATTTCCGACTGTCGAAGTCCTTTGAAAAAGTGTTATCCTGATTCCTACAATCTCTTTAAGTTTCCCTTCCTCAATATATACCATATTTTTCAGAGTATAAGACACATCTTTTTCCGCAAAAAGAGGCTGAAAATCTGGGTGAATCTTATACACTGAATACATCATTTTTTTGCCTCCTGAAACCCCCCCCCCCTTCACCAAAATGGCCATGCAGAGCCTTTAGGAGCTTTGCAAGGTGCTTCTGGGAGGGATGTGGAGAGCAGAAATGAGAGAAAAATGGACCGTTTTTCTCTGCAAGGCTCCTAAAGGCTATGCATGCTCTTTTTTTTTACCAAAACTGGACTCGTTTTCGCAAAAAAAAACAGGCCATTTATTACTTGTTTTTTGGGGGCCTCACCCTCCAGGAGCACTCTACAAGCCTCCTAAAGGCTATTCATGCCCCCCCACTTTTTTAAAAGGGCCTGTTTTTGCGAGGTCTGCAGAGTGCAAAAACTTTTTTTAAAAATTTGCCTCTTCAAAACCTTGGTGCATTTTATACTCCAAAAAATACGGTAAGAGTTGAGAAAGAAAAGAAAATCCCTCGTGATTTTGCTATGCCTTTAGATTTCTTGAAGGCTGCTCTATTCCCAGTGGTGGGATCCTACCGGTTTAACAACCGGTTCGGTGATTGCGCGCTTCCGCGGCCAACCGATAGTTGGAGCAACCGGTTCAGGCGAACCGGTCCGAAGCGGTTGAATCTCACCCCTGGCCATTTCTATCCGTTCTCTTTTTTTTCAAAATTGTCGTAGATAAGGTGCTGCCAAGCGACCCCGGAATCCTTTGGCTTCTTGTGATGCACTATTGTGAGTCTTACACAGCGCCCAAAATGCCGGAGCACATCCTGCACATATTCCATACGGAATTGGACCGCCTGCCCTGGAAGGAGGTTCATCCAGATCAGCACCTCATGGAGAAATTCTTTAAGGTAATGGCTTATGGCTGGTGAGCACAAGGCAGGAAGAGAAGGAATAAGGTGGGGAGGAAGGAAAGATCCAAACTTCATTCTCACTTTGATAAATTCTCTGAGGCTTTTGAAATCTCCTTGGTGGGGGAAAATGGAGGGGAGGAGTTCATGGAATAGCAAGGATGGTAGAATGGTGGTTGTGGAAAAGGATGATTGGAAGGAGGAGCCAAATATAAAAACAGAGGAATGGGAGGAACCATGATTATATTTAAGGTCTTCCTCCCTCCTCCCTTCCCATTTTCCTTCCTTCTTCCTCCCTCCCCCTCCCTTTTTTCCTTCCTTTTTCTTTCTTTCCTCCATCCCTCCTCCTTTTTCTCCCTCCCTGTTTTCCTTTATTTTCTTTCCTTCCTCCCTCCCTCTTTTCCTTCTTTCCCTTCTTCCTCCCTCCTCCCTTCCTATTTTCCTTCCTTCCTCCTCCCTCCCCCCTCTCTCCCTCCCTATTTTCCTTTCTTTTTCTTTTTTCCTTCCTTTCTCCCTCCCTCTTTTTCTTTCTCCCTCCCTCTCCCTCCCTCTTTTCCTCCCTTCTTTCCTCCCTTCTTTCCTCCCTCCCCTCTTCCCCCCTCCTCCTCCCTCGCTCCCCCTCCCTATTTTCCTTTCTTTTCCTTTCTAACCTCTCCCTTCCTCCCTTTTTCCTTTTCCCTTTTTTTTTGGTCCCAGGTAGAAAGAGGCAGCCCCAAGAGTTGTTTCCTGTTCCTGGGCTCAGTGCTGTGCGAAGTCAACTGGGTCAGTGTCCTGGCTGACGCCTGGGATCCCACCCCTCCCCCGGACACCCACAGCCTCATCGTGTGCCTGCTTTATATGGTGATCCTGCTGGCCAAAGAGGAAGAGCTGATCAGCAAAGAGGTAAGGATAAGCCCCCCCCCCCACCCCCCTACGTGTGTTCGACTCCTGGTGGCTCCCAGGACGCATTCATCGAATCCTGTTGGTAGCAGAGATGTTTTTCTCGGACGAAGAAAAATACACGAGTCTCAGGATGTTGTTGTAGGATCCAATCTGAGTCGGTTACCAGGATCAAAAGTTTATTCTGCCAAGGTTTCGGGCGCAGGTGGGTCTCTTGCCTTGAGCAGGGGTGTTGTGCCCCTCCAGCACCAGAATCAGAAGAGGAGGCAGAGGCGTGGGAGTCAGGGACAGCACCAAGGCAACCTGAGAGCTCCAAGGGGGAAGAGAGAATGGAGCTGGCAGAGAGAGAGAGCCAGAGGGGGAGCCTGGTCCGTCCATCAGCCCTCAGATGGAGAGTCAACAGCCCCCAAGTCTGGAGGTGGCTGATGAGGAAGAGGAGGAACAGCTGTGTCCAGTGGCTGATGCATGGATGCGCAGAAGGCAGAGGAGAGGAGAGCAGTGGAAATCTATGGACTGGTCCTTGGAATGGAAGAGCCACCGCTGCTAGTGAAGTCCCACCCTAGCTCTGGGGATAAAAGGCAGAGGCAGAGATTAATAGAATAGAATAGAATAGAATAACAGAGTTGGAAGGGACCTTGGAGGTCTTCTAGTCCAACCCCTGTTCAGGAAACCCTATACCATTTCAGACAAATGGTTATCCAGCATCTTCCTAAAAACTTCCAGTGTTGGGAGCATTCACAACTTCTGGAGGCAAGTTGTTCCACTGGTTAATTGTTCTCTCTGTCAGGAAATTCCTCCTTAGTTCCAAGTTGCTTCTCTCCTTGTTGTGTTGGACCAAACTCAGACCTTGCCCAGAAACTTCCTTGCTTCATTACTCAGACAGATTTTAGCTCTTTGAAGTTTCCAAGTAGGGCAGAACCCAAGAGGGCTTTCCTGCTGACAACTCTCAATGGCTCAGGAGGATTCTGTCTCTAATCCCGAGGAACGTCGCATGTAGCTAGACAATACCGTAATCTCCCCTGAATTGGTTTCATCCCTTCTTAATGACACTTAAAAGCTAGAAGAAAAGTAGTGAGGATTTAAGCTGCTGGAGTTTGTATTTCAGAAAAGGGAAGCCCTGGGATGGGTCTCCCAATATCCCCACAGGGAGGATTTTCCCGTAATTGACATTTTTGTGCGCTGTATCATACTGCGTTTCCGTAAGAAATCCGATCCAGAAGAAGCTCTCGCATCACACAACTGTTTTCTGCGCCCTCCTTGGCTCTCTGCCTGTTAACTCTTTATCCCAAATAGAGTCTTCAGTAAACTTGTTCTGACCCAGCCTTAGCAGAAACAAGAAACAGACTCCTTGTCCTCTCAAAAAACCCTCTTTATTTATCTCTTGTGAATTAATGGCATTCACACACAGAAAAGTCCAGGCAAGTGTCCTTCAAGGAGTTAACTGCAGCAACAGACCTTATTGATTCCTTACGATAATATCCAGGCTGTGAGCTCCCAGCTGAAAGGCTGCAAATTTAAGTTTTGGCAAGCAGTCTTTGAGGCATGAAACACGATGAGCAAAATCTTCAGAAATACGAACTGTTGTCTCCTATGACCACCACTCCACTTTCCTTCTATTTATTCCCCAGCCAGGGAGGGGCCATCCAGCGTCCTTGTGTACTTTGCTTCCTGAGTCGACTCCTTGTCCTCCATTGTTCACCTCTCCTAATAGCTGTGCACATACGNCAGAAGTGAGACAAAAACCTCCCCTTGTGCTTACTTGCAAACACTTCCTTCCTCCCCTTAGTCAACCATCAGTCTGGCCTGGGAAATTCTGACACAGTTATTACTTAAGAACAGACTCAGTTCTTCTCTCAGCCTTGCTAAGTATAAGGACCTTGTCCTGCTTCATCTTGGAATAAACAGGAATAAATTCTCAATCTTCATGAAGGTTGCAATAAAGAGTATTGCCCACAGAAACGTCTTCGCATTGTTTTTCCCCCTTTTGATTCAAATTTGGAAATTCATATTTCTCATGGGAAGGAAACCAAAAGGAGGCTGATCTGGGAACCCTTTTCTTTCAAGGGCTTAGAATGGAAGGGAATGGAATGAGATCATGGGATAAGATTGGATGAGATGGGATGCGATGGAATGGCATAGAATAGAATAGAGAAGAGAAGAGAATAAAATAGAAGAGAAGAGAAGAGAAGAGATGAGAAGAGAAGAGGAGAGGAGAGGAGAGGAGAGGAATAAGAATAGAACAGAACTTAGACTTGTATAGCACTTCATAGTATCTTGCAGCTCTTTCTAAGTGATTTAAAGAGTCAGCATATTTGCCCCCAACAATCTGGGTCCTCATTTTACTCGGAAGGATGGAAGGCTGAGTATACCTTGAGCCCATCAGGATTGAACTCCCCACTGTGGGCAGAGTCAGCCTGCAATAAGCGCCCCACCGCCATGGCTCTTCTACTGCTACACCACCTATTTCAAAGCAAATGCTTTGCATCTGAGGGGTTGGTCCCAAGACTCAGTGACATATATGAAACATCTAACCACTGACCTCTCCCCTTTTACATCACCTGAGGAGTTGACCATATAGAGCCGAATTGGTGCAGTGGTTAAATGAAGCACTGCAGGCTACTTCAACCGACTGCAGTTCTGCAGTTCGGCTGTTCAAATCTCACCGGCTCTGGGTTGACTCAGCCTTCCATCTTTCCGAGGTTCGGAAAATGAGGACCCGGATTGTTGTTGGGGGCAATATGCTGACCCTTTAAACCCCTTAGAGAGGGCTGAAAGCCCTATAAAGTGGTATATAAGTCTAACTGCTATTGCTATGCTTATATAAAAGGGAAGGCACAAGAGGTGGAGCAGAGGACCTTTTTTTGGCCTCAGAAGGAAAATACATCAGAATTATCATCATGTTCTGGGCTTCCTCCCTTCTCTCGCTGCTGGTCAACTCCTCAGGTGACGTAAAAGGGGAGAGGTCATTGGTTAGATGTTTCATCAAGTGAAAATGTTCTTTTGCACAAGACATTATTTATTTCTTTGTTTCTTTGCACAGGATCCTTTGCCCAGTATGTCCTGACCCAGCCGGCATCCGTGTCTGTCTCCCTGGGGCAGAATGAAAGGATCACTTGTTCAGCAAACAACATTGGAGGCAAGAGTGTTCACTGGTATCAGCAGAAGCCTGGAGATCCTCCTGTTCTGATTATATATAGTGATAGCGGAAGGCCCACAGGGATCTCAGACCGATTCTCCGGCACCAACTCGGGAAACACAGCCACCCTGAGCATCTCCAGGGCCCAAGCACAGGATGAGGCAGTATATTACTGTCAGGTGTTTATTTATTTTATTTATTTTATTTATTTTA